AAATGTCATTTCGGTATCGTGTCATTGATTTCGAGTAAAAATGCAACTCACGAAAGGTTTATTGCCTCAAAAGGGAGGGGAGGCGAGTTTCACTCGAGAGAAAGAAAAAAGGAAAAAGGGAAGAAAGACGAAGCGGGAAAAGCGAGAGAGAAGGAAAAAGAAAAGAAAATTTTTAGTGTCGAGGGATTGGATGCAAGAAAGGGATAAGAAGGAAGAGAAAGAGTAAAGTGGAAGAAGAAAAAGAGTGTGAAAGTCGGGGAAAAAGAAAGAAAGAAAAAAATAAGAAAAGTGAGAATGAGAGATTTCTGTTTTTTTGGGGGGGCGAGGGGGGAGAGAAGAAAAATAAAAAAAAAGGATTTTACGTGAGCCTTTTTTTATTTTTTTGTACGAAAAAAGGATTTTCAATTTAAGAAAGTTTTCCAAAAAAAAAAAAAAAAAAAAAAACAAAAAGATAAAATTAGATATCGTTTTAATACTATTATAATTATAATTATAATTATTATTATTATTATTATTATTATTGTTTTTTTTGACGTCAATCTTGTCGAGTAATCGTCACGTTTAAATCGTGCGAAAAACAACAAAAAAAAAAAATTTCGTGTGTCACCTCCTGACCAGCAAGTTCCGGTTACGCCCATTTTTTTGCATAACAATCAATGCGTCACCCAAATATTAAATCATCGTTTTTTTTTTTCGAAAGAAGTCTCCTCAAAAAGATACCGGCTCCCCCCGAAATAGAAAAAAAAAAAAAAAGTGGGCAGTGGGTCGTTTGTCTCCCCCCCATTCGGGGACTTTGTGGAAGTATTACTCACTACTACCTGTAATTATGTTCACCTGTCATCTGACGCATCTCATTTTTTTCCCCCCTCGTTTTTCGTGTGAACGTTAGCGAATTTTCTCTCTTGTTAATCGAAAAAAACACGTAGAGGAGGGGGAGGTGTGGAGGAAGTGTGTTAAATGACAAATCGGAAAAGATACTCGACAAAAAAAGAAAGAAAAACTGTTAGAACAAACGTGAAAGTTTTGAAAAAATTCCAATAGAAAAAAAACGCGAAAATTTTATTTAATTTTTCCCGTGGGAGGAGAAGGAGGAGGGAGGGAGAAGATGGCGGGATGCGGGAGTGGAAGTGGGGAGTCGATATGAAAACAAAAAAAAAAAATTATAAATTCAAATGAGAAAAGGTTTTTTTTTTTTTTTTTTTTTTAAGCACGAAAGGGAGGTGGAAAAAAAGAGAGAACGTTTATATATATAAAAGGGGGGATAGGTGGAAAAATGCGGGGGGAAGGGAAACGTTGGTTCGGACATGTTGAAAAGCCGGGGAGAAATGAAAAGAAGAAAATCGAATTTGTCGACGGTCGAAAATGTTAAGTCGAGTCTAGACGTGGCGTACGGTCGACGTGGATGCAACTGCGCAGGATGAGGAGGCTGATTGCCTGCCTGACTGCCTGACTGACTGCCTGCCTGCCTGCCTGCCTGCTTGCTTGCCGTCTTCCTTGCCTTGCCTGCCTCTATCCCCTTGGCTGAGACACAAGGGTTGTCGCATTAAGTTAGGTCATGGACTTCTATTTTCATTTCTTGGAGCTTTGCCCTTATTCCATTTATCCGATTTTTCTTTTTTCTGTCTCTTTCTTTTTCTTTCTCTTTCTTTTCTTTTTCTTTCTTTCTTTTCTTTTTTGTTTAGAATAATAAAACGCGGTAGTATTACGAAATAATAAAATAAATAGTGTTATGTTGTTCTTTTTTTATTTTTTATTATTTTTCATGTTGTAATAGTTTTCGTCATTTTGTTTTTTTGTTTCTCTCTTTCTTCTCTCCCCTCCCCCTCGAGCACCCTATCGGGATCTCTTTATGTTCCCCCCCTTCCCGGCAAAATTTTTTTTTTTCTTCTCGTCCTCGTCGTTGTCACCTTGATTTGTTTGTTTTCTAAAAACAAAAATAATTTTTTTTATATTTTGGGAAATTTTATTTTTTCGGGGGGGGGGGGGAAGAGGGACTTAGAGGGGGAAAGGTGGCGGGTCGAGGCGAAGTCGGCGGATCAATAAAAACATTTTTTCGCGTTTTTCTTTTTTTTTCTTTTTTTTTTTTTGTGAATTTTACGACAAGGTCGAAAAATGAGGGAAATTTTTTTTTTTTTTTTTTGTAAAGTTTTTCCGGGGATCGGAAAATTTTCTTCTTTTTTGTTTGCCTTCGGTTTTGAATTGACGATAAGGAATGAAAAGGCAACCATGCGCGAAAGTTTGTTGGTTGTTGTTGTTGCTTAGGAACGTTGAGTAACAATCAGCCTGAAAATATTATTATTATAACACACGAAAGTTTTTTTTTTCCTTCCCCCCCTCTCTCTTCGACTCTAGTTCGTACCTTAAAATTAGAAATAATTTTTTTTTTTTGGTTTCTCCTCAATAAACTTATTTAATTTCCGGTTGATGTGAGACCTTGAATAATTATCGGGTTCACGAATAAAGTGAACGTGAGAGAGAGAGAGAGAGGGGGAAAAAAAAATGTCGGATTTAAAAAAAAAATTTTTTTTAATTTTAAAATTAAAAATATGGCATTAATAATAATAATGATGATGATGATGATGATGATGATGATGATGATGATGATGATGATATGAAAGAGAGAGAGGGAGACAGGTAAAGTTTGTGTGTGTGTTTGTGACTCCCACACTGGAGATCTAAAATCAGGTCCTGATGTCATTGCCCTTGGTTGCACCGTGAATGACGTCACTTGAGGAATGCAGAATTGATAGAGTAAGACAAAGACGGTGTGGTAAAGGCGGCCTTGAGGTTTTGCAGACAGTCAGATCGGAGTTTATGGACCCTAAACATTTATTTTATGGGAAAGATGCGGACATTTTGAACGCATTGGTCTTTTTGTTGTAAAAATTAAAAAAAAAAAATTTTTTTTTCTTTCTTCTCCTTCTTCTTCTTCTTTTTTTACCTTCTTTCTTTCTTTCTTTTCTTCTTTTCCATCTCCAACTCTCTTTCCTTTTCGGTTCGTTTTATTTAGTTTAACCTACTACCCATCGTTAAATTACAAACAAGGCACATTTGGTATTTTTCGATTCATTTCTCTCCGACACGGAGATTTCATATACCGACCAATGACGATGATGATGACGATGATGATGATGATGATGATGATGATAATGATAATGATGGTGATGATAATGATGATGATGATGATACGTGACGATGACGACGACGAATATTTGTACCTTAGAAATTCTTCTAAAGACGCATCCTTGTTGAATTTTTTTGTTTTTGTTTTTTTTTTTTTTTTGTTTAAATTCTTAGTAATAATAATAATAATAAAATTGTTATGATATGTAAATGCAGGACACGTTCGGTCCAGTTGTTGTTATTATTTTTATTATTTTTTGGTTGCCATCGATCGGAAAATAATTGTTTTTTTTTTTTTTTTTTTTTGGCTAACTGGAGAGAAAAATTTTCTTTTTCGATTATTTCGCATCGACATGTTTGAATTTTTTTGTACTTTGTAGCCACATTTTGTTCTCTGAGAGAAAGAAGGAAGATGAAGAAAGGGTTTATGACGGTTGGAAAGATGGGCGTGTGTTGAGGGTGGTGATGGTGATGGGGGGATGATGGTGGCGACGCCAGCGGCGGGGGATAAAACCGAATTAAAAGTCGTAATTAGTCTGATGGGAGAGAAGTTGAATATTATTCTGGAATTTATTTTGAGAGAGAGACTAATCGTGTTTGTTTGTTTCATAAAAAAGGGTGGGGAGGGTTCTTTTAAAAAAAAAACAAAAACGGAAATCAACGAATGACATTTTACATTTTTTTTTTTTTGGGGGGGAAGGAAGGGAGATAATTTTAATTTTGAAATTTCATCATTTTTTTATGTCACGACCGCAACGCAAATACCGTTATACAAAAGTGGGGAGGCACCAACTCTTTTTTTCTTTTTTTTTGCGGTAGATCAATGGTGGCGCACCATATTTTTTTTAATGAATTTGCTGTCGTTTATATAAAAAAAAGAAAATTTTTTTAAATATTCGTCGTAAGAAGAACGCCACCGCCACCGCCGCCGCCGCGAAAAATGTTTACAAATATGGTAAAAGCAAGTTTATAAAAATTGATTTAATCGGTGGTGACGGTGACGGTGGCGGTGACGGCGGCGGCCATTCGCTGGAGAATGAAAAAAATAAGATCCCACGATCTTCTTACGGGAGATTTTCATGGAATTTTCTCGAATCGTTTTTTTTATTTATTTGAGTACTCGACGGAGCTGACGAAGTTGTTTGTAATCGCCTCGTTTGTTGGGTTGATGAGGGAAAAAAAAAAACGCGATGATATTTTCGTCACGTTCATGTCTCCAAAAAAAAAAAAAACGTTTTTTTTAAAGAATGTCTTCTCGAATCGAAGAAGAAGAAGAAATGTTTGTCGTTTGTTTGTTTGTATTTGGATTTTTTTATCTTGTTTGATGAGAGACGTAACAAACGATTTGCAATCTTTTGCGGTGGTTGTTGTTGCTGTTGCCACACAAAAAGTGGGTGAACAAAAAAAAAAAAAAAAAAAAAACAAATTCGAGATTTTATTCGATTTTATTATTATTATTATTATTTGAAATTTAGAGAATTTATTGAAAATGGTCGTCTGCTAAGCGTGTGTGTATATATTTATCGTAAGCCATTGACCAAGACAATTTATAAACTTACTTATTTTTTTTTTTATCTATAAACAAGAGTTATTTTTACGTTGGAATGCGACGCATTTCGTTTCATCAGACTTGAGAGATGGTGGGAGCCTCCCTTACCTCCCTCGTTTTTTTTTTCTTCACCTTCTCTCTCTCTCTCTCTCTATCTCTCTCTTTTTCTATCTTTTTCTGTTGTTTGTTATTTTCCTTTCGCGACGCATACTCTCTCTCTCTCTCTCTCCTTTTATATTTTAAGGATTGTATAGATTCTTTTTTTTTCGATTATCGCCTTTTGTCGTTCTCGCCCAACGCTGATCGATATTGAAAGGTTTTCCTGTAGACACATGGAAAGCAAGGTCGCGATTACAGAAAGAAAAGAAAAAAGTTGCAGAATCATCATCAATGAGAGAAGAATTCAGAGGTCTATTTCGGGGAGTTGTAAGGGCTTTGAATATTATTATTATTATTATTATTATGTTTTCGTCTTTGTAATGTGGCATTTCCGCTTTTACGCAGAACAGACTGACTACATTTATGGATGATTCATTCGACCGGATGCCACTTCTTTTTTGAAATAAAAAAAAATATAAAAAAAAAAAAACAAACGACCAACTTTGATTTTTCTTATTCACAGTAAACGAATGACCTTTGACCTTTGTAAGTAATTAAAAAGAATTTTTTTTTACTCCGTCGTTGTTTGTTGTTGTTGTTCCTCCTGTCGGTTGTGTTTACGAATGAATGACGTCACCAAGTTGGTAGATGCGGTTGGGACAGGGTTAAAAAGATTGCGAAATGAAGAGAATTTGCAAAAAAAAAAAAAAAATGTAATCGTCGATGGTGTTTTGATTTACGCGCGCGTAATCCTGTCGCGTGTTTACAAAGAGAAAAAAAAAATTTAGCGAGGAGCCAAAAGGAAAATAAAAAAAAAAAGAAAAATGTTAAAATGACTTTTTGGCGCCGATCTGACATAGTTGTCTCGCGGTAATGGATAAAATTCAAAATTAGAATCTAGAACTTGTTGCGGACTTGTTCTTTTTTTCTTCTTCTTCTTCTTCTTTAAAGTATTTCCCTTTCCCCCCTCCTCCCACGGGAACTCTTTAGCCTTCATTTTGTTTTTCCCGAACGGAAAAGAAGAACTCGCGATTCGAATGTCAAAATCACACCAAAATCGAAATTAAATAATTTTTTTTTCATTTCTGTATTTTCCCTCCCGCTTCCCTTTTCCCTCTCCTTTCCCTTCCTTTCCTTCGGTTGCGGTTTCACTTTACTGTGGTAACGTTCTAGAACTTTCTTAAATAGTGAAGAAATCGACACTCCCTGTTTTCTAACGTTTTTTGTACTTCCGTTTCCTTCCTCTCTCGTCTTCTTATTAAAACGTTTTTTTTTCCTTGTGTTAATTTTTCATTCATTGCCGATTTTTATCATTATTATTATTATTATTATTGTCGTCGTCGTCGTCGTCGTCGTCATCGAACGTCAGTTGTAGTCAATACACGAAATTTTTAATGTTTTTTTTATTCCAGGAACGGATGCCGACAGGTTTGTGTCGTCTTGTGTCGGCTTTCTCGAATTCGTTTTAATTCGGTTTGACCGTAATAATAATAATAATAAAAAGTAATTGAAATCTCTGTTTGTCGTTTGTTGTTTACAACGACTTGAAGATTCCGTTTCCGTTTTTTCTTGTCTTACTTCTTCTGTCGCCCTACTCTTTAATATTTATTATTATTATTAATGTCTATCGTGAAAGGTCAATGAATGAATACCCGATTTTACAAAATGGTTGTACGTTCGTGTCGTGCCAACCGCCGAGATGTTTATGCCTGACTTTATCATCATCATCATCATCATTTCAAGTCGTTTTTATTGTTTTTGTTTCAGGAAAAGAATTCATTTTTAAATTACAACGTTTCGTGCATTTTAACATTACCGCCCTATCAAAGGCAAGGATACGGAAGGTTACTGATCGATTTTTCGTACCTTCTGACAAGAGAAGAAGGAAAAATCGGATCCCCGGAAAAACCCCTGTCGGATTTGGGTCTCATATCTTATAGAAGTTATTGGAAAGACGTTCTGCTCGAGTACTTGTGTAATTTTGGTGGAAAAGAAATAAGCATCAAAGGTGAGTAAAAAAAGTTTTTCTCACGCTCTTTTCTGGAGAGAAATCCAAAAAAACAGCTGTTGACCGCCGTTCGCAAACTGTTCGTTTCAGACATAAGTCAGGAAATGGCGATAAATTCGTACGATATCGTGAGCACGCTTCAAGCTCTCGGAATGATGAAATACTGGAAGGGAAAACACATAATACTTAAAAAACAAGACGAAATTGAAGAGTACATAGATAGAGTCAAAAGGAGAGACATGGCGCATAAGGAAATTGATAAGAAATGTTTAAAATGGGCGCCGTTCACTCCGACACAACCGCAAAACAGTTCGTGAAAGAAAAAGAAAAAAGAAAAAGTAAAAAGTCGCGAAATTAAAAACATTAAATAATAATCGCGAACGTCGCGATCGTCGCGCAGTTCGCGACATCGGTCAGTCATTCATCATCGTCATGACAATCAATCATCCTAGTAGAAGAAGTCGGAAAAGTGAAATGATAACGACAGAGCGAGTGACGTCATCCGTTCGGATCACATGACACGGGAAAGAAAATTTGGAAAGGAAAAAAGGGAACGACTCGAACGTAAATATCATTATCATTATTATTTTTTTTCTTTTCTTTATCACTTACCGAATAAATTATTATTATTATTATTATTAATATTATTATTATTATTATTATTATTATTATTATTATTATTATTATTATTAATATTATTATTATTATTTTAATTGAGTTTTTTTTTTTTCGTGTTTGTCTCGCCTTCCAGTTGGGGCTCATTAACAAAAAAAATTAATAATAATGAATTCCATAAAAAATTTAATTGTCCAGAAAAAAAAAAAGAAGGAGATAATAATAATAATAATAATTTAATTTTTGTGTTTTTTTTTTGGTTTCGGTGGAGGGTGGGGGTGGGTGGAGGGGAGGAGGAAAATTATTTTAGGGTTGATTGTTGATGGGTGGTTAATATAATAATAATAATAATAATAAAGGATCAAATTGTTTTCAAATTTTTTGTAATTAAAAATAATAATGATGATAATGATGATAATGAAATTATATGATGCGTGCATTTTAAATTATACGGTTTTTTTTGGGGGGAGGGGAGGGGAAGGGAATGAAAAAAGAGGGATTTCGAGGGTAGGAAGGAAGGAAGGAAATCGACAAATGATGGGTTAAATAATAATAATAATAATGAAACCCCTTTTATTATTATTATTATCATTCCCTTATTTCTATTTTTTTTTATATTAAATTTAAATGGAAATTAATACGGTTATAGTAATAATAATAATTGATAATATGACGTATCGATGAGAGGAGTCGGAAAACGCAGGAAAATTTTTTTTTTTTTTTTTAAACGTTTGGAAAGTCGTTTGAAGTACCGTAGTCACGATAATTTCCCTGTGTGTCAAGTATATGGGTACGTATGAGAGGGGCGGTAAAAGGAGGGGGCTTTAAAATTTCATAAGAAATGGAGAAAAGGCGAGAAAAAACGAAGATGGCGGCGGTGGCGGTGGGGGGCGTCGGCGATATTTTGTAATAAAAAAAAAGAAAAAATTTCAGGCTCGCCTTGAATTCGCGATATTGTGGGACGCGCGTGCGCAACGCGCGTTTTTTCTCTCTTTTTTTCCATTTAAGGTTTTGTTAAAGACGACGACGACGACGTCGACGCCATTTTTTTTTTATTTATTTAAATAAATATGGGAGACGTGATTCCAGGATACTTTCTCGACCTTCTCAAAATTTTTCCGTGTCGCGAGAGATAAACAAAAAAAAAAAAAATTTTTTTTTTTTCTTCCCAATCCATCGTCGAAATCATCATTATTATCATCATCGCTTGTTACGTCATCATTATTATTAATATTATTATTATTATTATTTTATTTTTGGAATTTAAGATTCGTTTTGAAGTGCGAGCGTTTAACGGTTTTTCAGGTGATGGGTTGTTTTTTTTTTTTTTTTTTTTTCGTTCAAATTTTTCTCCAGGTGGTTTTGTATCACTTTTATAAAATGACGTCATCATTTTCCAGTCAATTTTTTTTCGTGAATTAAATAATAATAATAATAATAAAAAACAAAATGGCGGAATTATTAGCAACCGGAAACGTTTCGAAATTTTTTTTTTTCGCGTTGTTTTTGAAAGAGAAAATTTCTCGTCTTCTGCTTCCTCCTGGAATAATAATAAAAACGAATTTTTTTTTTTTTTCATTTCGTTTCGAAATAGGTAATAATTATCACGTGACCACCGACTCGCACACACACAAATAAAAAAAAAATTATTTTCGGTTTGCTGGAGAAAAAAAAAAAATTTTTTTTTTTTTTGGTTTTTTTTTTTTTTTAATTCGTGTTACGATTCAAAACCGACGACGTAACAATTTACTCACTCGTCTGACTAATAATAATAATAATAATAATTGTTATCGAAACTGGACAAAATTATTCTTTGTTTTTATCCAAATTAAAGAGAGAGAGAGAGAGAGAGATAGATAGAGAGAGAGGGGGGATATTTTTTTATTTCATTTTTTTCTTTTCGTTTTCTTTTTTAAAAGGGTAAAAAAATTTTCTCCAGGTTTTAGGGTAAAAAAAAAAAGGATTTCCAGGATTTATTAATAATAATAATAAAACAATTTATTTTTTAAATAAAATAATTTCATTTATTAAATAAATAATAATAATAATATTAACAATAATAATAATAATAATTCGGTCGTTTTTAAATTTACATTTAATTCGTTTTTAGTTCGTTATTGTCTGGTTCCACTTCCGTTTTTCTTCTTTCACTTTTTTTTTTTTTTTTTTTTGGGGGGTAAATAACACAAATTTTCATTTCAGTGTAAAAAATATTAATAATAATTATTTCAGGTTTACCCTCCCCCTCTTCCCCTTTCTTCCCGTTTCCTAAACGTCATTCCAATAATATTCGACAAATAATATTTTCAACGTTTGTTGTAGTTTGTTGTGGTTGTTGTTGTTGTTGTGTTGTACGGTTCTCGATTGCCTAAATAATATGCCTATTAGACATGACTAATAAGACAATTTTTGATCGAATTACAAACGGTTCGGACGATACTCTGGAAAAAGAAAAAAAAGTTTTAAAATGGCGGTATCCGCCGCCGATCGACTTCCTCCTCCGCCATCATTATTACAAATAATGTCCGCCGCCACCGCCATTGCCGCCTCCTTTTTTTATTATTATTATAATTTCGTCTGAGAAACGATGCCTTCCATCCATCCATCCATCCATTATTTAACATCAACCTACGTTCATCACACCACTATTCAATATAATAAAAATCTTTTCTCATTTAATCCGCATCCGCCATTTTTCTTTTTACTAACAAAAAAAAATTAACTTAATTATTATTTTTGTTAATTCGTACCTTTTCCTTTCATCTTTTCCTTTCTTTTCAATTTCCGGTTTTTCCATAATCGACCGTCGATTTTAGATCTTAGATTAATAGTACTACACCAGATGCCTGGATTTAAGAACTACCAGAGCACCTGATGAAGTACAATCAACGTAAAGACCAAACTACTTTCCTCTTTTCCTTTCTTCCTTTCTTCCTTCCTCCTTTCTTTCTTCTTCTTCTTCTTTTTCTTTTTCTTTTGGTGGTGGATGGATTCATACTTTTTGAGGTACGCCTAAGAAGCTCCGCGCGCTACTTTAGGTACCTGACTTTCATGTAACATAAGAAAAGTCTAAAGGACCTGAGCAGCGCGAACAGCTACTCGGCTATGTTGTTGTCAATGACGATCTTGTTTCTCCTCCTCCTCCTCCTCCTTCTCTTCTTCTTCTTTCAAGAAAGCAACCATTAAAAAAAAAAAAAAAAACTTACGTAGACTAAAAATAAAAAAATTTTTTTTTTCCCACTTCCGTTCTCATGTGTGTGTGTGTGTGTGCGTGCGCGGATAGTACAAAACTGAGGCCGTCGAGATCTTTCATGCAAGACAAAAAAAAAAAAAAAAAAAAAAAAGGACCGAACGCAACTGAGTCATGACTACTACCATACGTATATATATATATACATACACGACTCATTCATTTCTTCTTCTTCTTACACGATTTTAATTATTGTCTGAAAACTTTTTTTAATTGACTTTGAAAATTTTCCATCGTGATGAGTGTGCGCGTGACTCAACAACCAACAACCGAAAATGATCAAACCGTATCTTAACTCGTTTTCTATCTCACCTTCTCTCCCTCTCCCCTCTCTCTCTCTCTCTCTCTCATTCTCTCTCTTCGCGAAAAAAGAAAAAAAATCAAATTTTATACTTTTTATGTATCTACTTTGACGTGGTGGCAAAAGACAATAAAAAAAAATTTTTTCGGTTTCGCTCTTTTTAAATCATCGACAAAATATTTGACTCCCATTTCCGGTCTCCCGTAGAATTTAATTCTACGCATTTTTCGTTGGCGATTTTCGCACAGCCGCCTCGCACATTTTTTTTCCGTTTTTTTTTCTGAGAAATAAACGACGACGATGACGACGACTTTCACGCGATTATTCTAAAACCACTTTAAAAAACGAAACGAAAAACAACAACCGTGAAACAACAACAACGACAACAACCAGCCGCCAAGACTACTAAAAATTTAATGAAAACGGAAGAGAATAATTTTTATTCTTCGAAGGCTAACTTTGAAGAAGGTCCTGGAAAAAAAACAAAAATTATGGCGAGATTTATTTTTAGGTATCGTTTTCTGACCTCTTACTCTTCTCCCTTTCCCCCATCCTCCCAATTCCCCCCATTCCCCTATTCTCTATCTCTCTCTCTCTCTCTCTTTCTTTCCTTTCTATCAAAACTTATCGTTCGACGACAAATTTCCCTCGGACTGACACGACAAACAATAAACACAAATCGGAAAAAGTTTTTGATAATAAAAAAACCACCTGTAATCGGTAAAAACATTTCGAAACAAAAAAAAAAAAAAATTGAAATAAAAACCAACGCGACGCGAACAAACAAACAAACAACAAACAACAACACACAACAACAAAAACATTTCGAAATCAAATTATTGCAACAACAAAAAAAAAATAAAATAAACTCGCGTAAGGCGCTGAGTCAGTTAAAAATTTGCGCGACAATAACAACAACACATTCGGGGTAAAGAATAAAAACAAACAAACAAACAAACACCAAACTATGACCAATCCTCGGTAAAATATAAAACAAACAAACAAATAAAGTTTCGCGTTACAAATTAAAATTTTTATATTAAAAAAAAAAAATAAACTTTTCAACTTCATTTTTATGTTTTCGACGAAGACGGTAAACGACGACTACTACGACCACGACGACGACAACAACAAACAAACAAACAAAAAACTCGCGACTACTTCGATTCACAACAACAACAACAACAATAATATTTTTCGAAACTTCTCGAACTTTCCGTTTTCGACTTCGTTCGTTCGTTCTTTTAATGTTTCCACGGTCGCAACAAATTGCTTAATTGCGACTCCGTAAATTTAAATTTTCGAAGGAAAATAGAGAGAGAGAGGTGGGGGTAAGAGAATGGAGGGGTAAAGGAGGGGGAGAGTGGGGGGAAAGGGTAGACACCGAAACCGGTAAACGTCACTCGAACGCAAAAAAACGCAAAAAAAAAATCACTCACCGAACAAACAATCGATCGATCGATCAATCACCGATTGACAATCCAATTCGACGCGTAAAACAAATACTTTTTTTTTACCAGTAGTAATAATAATAATAACAAAAACGACAGGTACGAACCTTGAAGAGTTCCGTATATATATATATAAAAAAAAAAAAACCAACCAATGCGTGCGCGACCTTTGTTCGTTCGTTCCTTCGTTATTTTTAACTGGAATCCGCGGTTTGATGATGGTCGTCGCGGTGGTCGCGGTGATGATGATGGTGGTGGTGGTGGTCACTTCTTCGTCTCCTCACTCAACACAAAAACTGCAAAGTGTTTCTCTCAAGTCGGCGTCCCGTCATCGAATCATTGGATTTTTCGCTTAACCATCGACCAATGAAAACGACGCTCTCTCTCTCTCTCATCGTCATCATATTTATCACTATGGAAACCTCCTTTGGATATTAAAAAAAAAAAAAAAATTCATCCGCCTGCATTTTTAACGTTCTACCACCACCTCTCCCTTCACCCTCTCTCTCTCCTCCTTCTCCTCTTCCTCCTTCGGGGATAATTATTTACACACTTTTTTACTCAACAACTCCAGCAGCAACAGCAGCAGAAGCAACTTTTATCGACAGATGTTTCACGCAGAAGAAGTGTCTTGTCGAGATATTTAAAAATAAATTCATTAAAAGAGAATTCGAAGGTGAAGAAGAAGAAGAAGAAGAAGAAAAAGGTTGATGATTAATGGAACCATTATGATAAAATAAATTCTCCTGGAGGAAGTGCAAGAATATTCCCTTTCCCTTCCCCTTTTTCCCTTCAAAACAAAAAAAAAACGCAGACGACGCACGCACACGCACACGCACTTTTTTTTTTTTCAATTCTCCAGATTATTTTTTCCAGACCGAAATAATGACGACTCTCGATAACAAACAAACAAACTTTTTTTTTCTCTCTTTCTCTCTCTCTCCATAATAATAATAATTTAAAATTAGGGTCAGAACATATATAAGTTCTCTCTCAACCGATAGGGCCCCTCTCTCTCTCTCTCTCTCTCTCTCTAAGAATATCTCGTGATATTCGTCTGACCTTGAATATATATCGCGGCGTAACTGGAATAATAACGTTTTATTTTTAAATACTATTTCTTTATCCTCCTTTTCTCGTATCCGCGTCGAAATCGTTCCCTTCTCCTCCTTCTCCTCGTTTGTACGAAACAAACAAACAACGTTTGTTCGAATCATCATCACAACAACCGAATGTTTAACAAAAAAAAACACATCGAAAAACGATTAAACCAAAAAAAAAAAATAAAAATTCACAATCGACGACACCTCAAAAAAAATTTTTTTTTCTTGAACGCACGAACGTACGAACGCGAAACAAACAAACAAACAATAAAACTGACAACTCTCGCGAAAACTAAAATTTAAACAGAAAACAAACAAACAAACAAAAATTTACGGAATATGCAAAAAGTAGAAAAAAAAAAAAAAAAAATTTTTTTTTTTTTTTTTTTTCTACTTCGACGTATGCTTGACACGCAGTTTGACTTCAACAAACCAACTGGCTGGCGTATACACAAATTCTCGTTCATTTTTTTTTTTTTTTTTTTTCTAAGAAGTTGTAAAATAAGGTCGACCAACCGATGACCGCATATATACACACACACACACGCACGCAGGTACCTGAATTGGAAGGGGATAGAAAGAGAGAGAGAGAGAGAGAGAGAAGAATCAAAGTCCGCGGAGAGAAAAAAAAATATTTTTTTTTTTCTACGGAACGAAATGCAAAATTTTCTTTTTTTTTTTTTTTTTTGCTACAAACGACGTCCACGTTCGAAAAAAAAAAAAAAAAAATCTCATTGTCCGAACTTTACGATCAGAAGACGAACACGGTTTATTATCATCATCATCATCATTAATAAAATTGATTCCGTGTGTGCGTGTGCGTGCGTCTATGCGATTGTTGTCCCGAAGACAAAGCAAATTGTTGCGACCGAATCAAAATGAGACGGGAGAATGGATATCGAAAATTTCCAGTATTTCTAAATGATGGAAAACGCGAAGGTCACCGACGTCTGAGCCAGGTACTGGCAACAACCAAGGCATTGACCTCAGAGTTTCGCCATTCGAACCAACCAACCAACCAACCAGCCAGCCAGTCAACCAGCTAGCAAAACCAGTCAGCCAGCTAGCCAGCCAGCCAGTCAGTCAGCCAACCAAACAAACAAACAACCAACCAAACAGTCAGTCAGTAAGTCAGTCAGTTAAGTGGCAAACCATTATCCATTCACAGCCAACCTCTTTCTCACCAATTCGACAACCGCCCGCGCGACCGATCCGTCTATGATTTTAACGTCAAAATACGTCATCACTTTAATATTTTTTCCAATCGTTTCGTCACTTTCCGGAAAAATAATAATAATAAAAAAACGACGCGTGACGCGAGCGAGCAAGTGGATTCCTCACACTTACGGTTGGTTGATTGTCAACAACAAATCGCGACGACGAAAACACAAACAAACAAAAACATAAAACTAAACAAAAAAAAAAAAAAGAAATTTTATAAAACCGAAACCTGAAAAGAAATCAAAACTATCTTCGGCATTAGAAAAAAAAAAAAAAAAAAACAATACGTGTAAGTAATGCGATACAAGCCATTTCTCGATTCTCCTTATTCAATATTATTATTATTATTATTATTATCATTTTCCTTTTTTCTTCTTCTTTTTCTTTTTCTTTCTAGAATTCTGACTCAACCAAAAAAAAAAAAAATACTTGAACGCACTCACGCGCACGCGCACGGGTTTAATTAAAAAAAAAAAAAATTACCGAACGATTACGAGGCGAGTGAAGGGGTGACACAACTTATGGTGACGATGACGGTGACGGTGATGACGTCACGTAAACCTGGAATGAATGTTTTAATGACATACCGCAAAACAACCGGATCGATCGGAGAAGACGGTCGACGCGAAACAAACAATTATAATAATAATAATAATAATAATAATAATAATAATAATAATAATAATAATAATAATAACAACCTGAATTTTTAAAATAATTGTTAATAAAAGGGACAAGGTAAATCATTATTATTATTATTATTATTTTCACGCGA